GATGTACAATGTAAGGTGACCTCTGGTCCTAATGATGTACAATAGATTTTGACTCCTGGTCTCCCTACTGAGTTACAATATAAGGTTACCCCTGGTCCCCCAACTAATGTACAGTATGAAGTGACCTCTGGTCCCCCTGCATATGTAGAATTAAAGGGGACCTCTGCTCTCCTACTGATGTCCCCTACTGATGTACAGTATAAGGCCTCTGGTCCCCCTTACTACAGCTGATGTACAATATAAGATTGCCTCTGGTTCCCCAAATGATGCTCAATATAAAGTGACTCCTGGTCCCCCTATTGATGTACAATTTAAGGTGAGCTTTGGTCCCCCTACTGATGTACAATTTAATGTGTCCGCTGGTTCCTTACTGATGTACAATATAAGGTGACCTTTGGTCCCCCTACTGATGTACAATTTGAGATGAACTCTGCTCCCCCTACTGATGTACAATGTAAGGTGACCTCTGGTCCCCTTACTGATGCACAATATAAGGTGACCTCTGGTCCCCTTACTTTAGCTAATGTACAATCTAAAGTTTGCCTCCGGTCCCCCAACTGATGTGCAATATAAGGTGATTCCTGGTCCCCCTAATGATATAGGATATAAGGTGACCTCTGGTCCCACAAATGATGTACAATGTAAGCTGTTCTCTGGTCCTCTTACTGTTGTCCCCTATTGATGTAAAATATAAGGTGACCTCTGGTCCCCCTACATATGTAGAATTAAGATGACCTCTGCTCTCCTACTGATGTCCCCTACCGATGTACAGTATAAGGTTACCTCTGGTCCCCCCTACTGACGTACAATTTCAGGTGACCTCTGGTCCCCCTACAATAGCTAATGTACAATATAAGGATTCCTCTTGTCCCCCTACTTTTGTGCAATATAAGGTGACTCCTGGTCCCCTACTAATATGCAATACAGGGTTACCTCTAGTCCCCAAACTGATGTACATAATAAGGTGACCTATGGTCCCCTAACATATTTAGAATTAAAGGTGACCTCTGCTCTCCTACTGATGTCCACTACTGATGTACAGTATAAGGTGACCTGTGGTCCCCCTACTGATGTACAATAAAAGGTGATTCCTGGTGCGCATACTGATGTACAATCTAAGGGGACCTCTGGTCACCCTAATGATGTGCAATATAAGGTGACTTCTGGTCCCCTACTGATATACAATATAAGGTTACCTCTAGTCCCCCAACTGATGTACAGTATAAGGTGACCTCTGGTCCCCCTACATATGTAGAATTAAAGGTGATCTCTGCTCTCCTACTGATTTCCCCTACTAATATACAGTATAAGGTGACCTGTGGTCCCCCCAATGACGTACAATTTAAGGTGACCTCTGGTCCCCCTACTATAGCTAATGTACAATCTAAAGTTTGCCTCCGGTCCCCCAACTGCTGTGCAATATAAGGTGATTCCTGGTCCCCCTAATGATGTAGGATATAGGGTGAGCTCTGGTCCCACAAATGATGTACAATGTAAGCCGTTCTCTGGTCCTCTTACTGTTGTCTCCTACTGATGTAAAATATAAGGTGACCTCTGGTCCCCCTACATATGTAGAATTAAGATGACCTCTGCTCTCCTACTGATGTCCAATACTGATATACAGTATAAGGTGACCTCTGGTCCCCCATACTGACGTACAATTTAAGGTGACCTCTGGTCCCCCTACTATAGCTAATGTACAATATAAGGTTTCCTCTGGTCCAACTACTGATGTGCAATATAAGGTGACTCCTGGTCCCCCTACTAATATACAATATAAGGTTACCTCTAGTCCCCCAACTGATGTACAGAATAAGGTGACCTATGGTCTCCCAACATATGTAGATTTAAAGGTGACCTCTGCTCTCCTACTGATGTCCAATACTGATGCACAGTATAAGGTGACCTCTGGTCCCCCTACTGATGTACAATAAAAGGTGACTCCTGGTCCCCCTACTGATATACAATCTAAGGGGACCTCTACCAGAGGTAGAATGAAAGGTGACCTCTGCTCTCCTACTGATGTCCCCTACTGATATAAAGTATAAGGTGACCTCTGGTCTCCCCAATGACGTACAATTTAAGGTGACCTCTGGTCCCCCTACTTTAGCTTATGTACAATATAAGGTTTCCTCTGGTCCCACTACTGATGTGCAATATAAGTTGACTCCTTGTCCCCCTACTGATATACAATATAAGGTTACCTCTAGTCCCCCAACAGATGTACAGTATAAGGTGACCTATGGTCTCCCTACATATGTAGAATTAAAGGTCACCTCTACTCTCCTACTGATTTTTACTACTGATGTAAAGTATCAGGTGACCTCTGGTCTCCCTACTGATGTAAAATAAAAGGTGATTCCTGGTCCCCCTGCTGATGTAAACTATAAGGTTGCCTCTGGTCCCCCAACTGATGTACAGTTTAAGATGACCTCTGGTTACCCTACTGATGTACAATTTAAGATGACCTCTGGTCCCCCTACTACAGTTAATGTACAATATAAGGTTGCCGCTGGTTCCCCAAATGATGTACAATATAAAGTGACTCCTGGTCCCCTTATTGAGTATCAGGTGACCTCTGGTCTCCCTACTGATGTAAAATAAAAGGTGATTCCTGGTCCCCCTGCTGATGTAAACTATAAGGTTGCCTCTGGTCCCCCAACTGATGTACAGTTTAAGATGACCTCTGGTCACCCTACTGATGTACAATTTAAGATGACCTCTGGTCCCCTACTTACAGCTAATGTACAATATAAGGTTGCCGCTGGTTTCCCAAATGATGTACAATAGAAAGTGACTCCTGGTCCCCCTATTGATGTACAATTTAATGTGAGCTCTGGTCCCCCTACTGATGTACAATTTAATGTGTCCTCTGGTTCCTTACTGAAGTACAACATAAGGTGACCTTTGGTCCCCCTACTTATGTACAATTTGAGGTGACCTCTGCTCCCGCTACTGATGTACAATATTGGGTGACCTCTGGTCCCCTTACTGATGTACAATATAAGGTGACCTCTGGTCCCCCTACTTTAGCTAATGTACAATAAAGTTTGCAACTGATGTGCAATATAAGGTGATTCCTGGTCCCCCTATTGATGTAGGATATAAGGTGACCTCTGGTCCCACTAATGATGTACAATGTAAGCCGTTCTCTGGCCCCCTTACTGTTGTCCCCTACTGATGTAAATTATAAGGTGACCTCTGGTCCCCATACATATGTAGAATTAAAGGTGACCTCTGCTCTCCTACTGATGTACCCTACTGATATACAGTATAATGTGACCTCTAGTCCGCCCACTAACGTACAATCTAAGGTGACCTCTGGTCCCCCTACTATAGCTAATGTACAATATAAGGTTTCCTCTGGTCCCCCAAATGATGTACAATATATGGTGACTCCTGGTCCCCCTGTTGATGTTCAATATAAGGTGACCTCTGGTCCCCCTACTGATGTAGAATGTAAGGTGTTCTCTGGGTTCCTTTCTGTTGTCCCCTACTTATGCATGTTATGTACAATATAAGGTGTCTTCTGGTTCCCCTTCATATGTGGAATTCAATATGCCCTCTGGTCCCCCTACTGATGTACAGTATAAGATGCCCTCTGGTCACCCTACTGATGTAGAGTTTAAGGTGACCTCTGGTCCCCCTGCATATGTATGATATAAGGTGACACACTGGTCCTCTTACTGATATACAATATTAGGTGTCCTCTAGTCCCCAACTGGTGTACATTAAGGTGTCCTCTTGTTCCCCTACTAATGTACAGTTTTAGGTGACCTCTGGTCCCCCTACTTATGTACTATATAAGGTGACCTTTGCACTCCCTACTGATGTCCCCCTACTGATGTACAATATAAGGTGACCTCTGGTCCCCCTACAGATTTACAACATTACTTGTTCTCTGATCACGTTACTGTTGTCCCCTACTGATGTGTACTATAATGTTAAATTGAATAAAATCTTACGGGAGACCACAGGTCACCTAACGTAATCCATAAATGTTAAACGCTTATATATCATACATCGCATAAAATTGCAGTTAATGTTGCTCAGCACCCACCCTCCACCCCCTCTATCTTTTATAATACCCTTCAGATGGTTATTCCTTTTAAAAATTGTTTGTTTTACACTTTAAAGGCTTCACAGTATTACGATTTATTCTACTTTCACTTTACGTATGCAACGCACTACATTTTGTAGCGGAGTAAACAGGCCCGATAGTCGTGAACTGAGCAGGGGGACCTCAGGGCCTAGTTCAGCGTACGTTTTATCCTTCTGCATTTTGACAACAGAGTCGTGAAAAAGACGTTTTGATGCATGCAGAACACGACGGACACGTAACTGCCTCGGTCAATCAGATTCCTTTTTAGTTGTGAATAATTATATGAGATCTATTAATATTATTTAGGTTATTTTTTCAAATGAATATGTGTCTCATTTATTTTTTTTATATTTTTTTTTATTGCAAATGATCAAAATTTAATGAAAAAAGTTAAAATATTTGAATCGAATTTGACTTATCATTTATCATGTTTAGTTATTTAAGGCAGTGGATACGCTTATGAAAAAAAAAATTAGGTTTTGTATTTTTATTTTAAAAAACCTCCAAGCGTAATTGTAATGGTAATGGATAACTTTACTGAAGTATACCAAATGGTAATGTAATCCGTTACTTTAAGAAAAAAAAGAGTAATGGCACTGCATGGTAATTTAATTGTCTTTTAGAAAATTAAATGTAAAGTACATGTATTCTGATTATTGTAGTTTATAATGTCAAATTTTGAAATTGCTTTTTTAGAAAAGTTTTTTTAACATTATTGAATACTTCAAATCAAGCTGATCCATTCCGTAAATTGGTTGATCCATGGAAAAAATTCGACTAATCGATTACATATACCAATAATCCTCTGATTGCCATCCTCAGATATAACCGTTTGCCGTTAATTCTCTCTCTATTTTAATCGGTCCGAGGTGTTCCTGATTTTGTAGTCTATACTTACTTGGTTTTCTGTAAGCTTTGTTGCCGATGATGTAAATGTCGTTGTGTGGATGTAGACCTATACAGGATCTCACGATGTCAGGTCTCGCCCAGTAACCGTATCTCCAGAGCCACGTCACGTGATCTACACTGTCATGTGATCTTCCTCTGTAATGTACAGCCTCTCCTTGTTCTTTTAAGGTTATCAATAACTGCGTCCGTTCACTTAGATTCCCCTTTTTTTCGTTGTACGGTGTGTTTACTGTAATATAAGAAAATCGAGAATATCAAATACATATTTTATTGAAAGGAATTATATATTCCTGCTCATTAACTTTATTCATGCATGTCGTTGTTTTCCCTTCTATTTTATATTTTTTTAAAAGATTTATAATTCGTCATGTTAAACAAAATAAGGGAAATGCCAAAAAACGCAAAAAAAAAAAAAAAAAAAAAAAAAAAATAAAAGAAAAGGAAAAGAAAAATTAAAATTTTTTTTTATCTATTTATCTAAACACAAACAAGTAAATTCTTTTGAAACAGCATGTTCTACAAATTTAGAATGATCAATGAAAGGCGATTGCCTTACCACAATGCAAAGTACAAGTGTACTTGCACTTCATCAATACTGAATGGGTCCTTTTTATGTGCCATTTCACTTTTGAATATATAACCAAATCGTTCTCTTTTGATAAAATTAGATACTGGTGAATATTTCTAAAAAGCACGTTAAGCATCATATAAATCAGCATGGATTTGAAACAATGGAATATTTGAGATACCCATGGATAACCTAAATCCGGAAAAATCGTACCGAACCTTCTTTGAGTTTCGTTTATGTAAATCAAGAGGAAGAGATATTTTAATCGACACTTGAAAAATCAGATGGTGGATCATAGTCAGGCGCGTTTTTGGCATGTTACTTCTTGCTCTGAATCTATTTAAAATGTGAATGAAATTGTGAAGTTGCCTGTAGCCATGATGATCAAACTAAGAAATTGCGCTCTTGCATTTGAAATATTACAAAAATAGTGTCACTGAATTTGAAATTAAAAAGGAGTGTTTAGGTGGTTTTCAACACAAATGTACCTGTTTCATTTTTTCACTGTTTCACTTTTATGAACGACACTAAACTATCTTTACCCTCCCGTGTTCTTAAAAACAAAATACATACAAATACACTGTATCTCAAAGCGGCACGACTTTGATTTAATGATACAAAATCTACATGTACCTATGTTATACAGTGAGCACATTTGAGATATCGTTACTAAGGTAGAACTCACGTGACTATCAGTTTTTTTTTGTTTTTTTTTTAATTGATTAATATCAAGGAGCAGATTTCAAACAATTCATTCATTTTCAGTATATGAGTACAGCCCCCATCCTCTATGGTACCCCTGACCCTGAAGACTTGAAATTCACACAATTCTGCAAGATTAAGGCCCTTGCTCATCATGAATATATAAGTAGTTCATCTGCTTCATACCCAGAGACAAAGAAGACAATTATCAAAGAATTCTTTATTTTCACTATATAATCAATAGAGTCCCGCCCATAACACAAGAACCCCTGACCCTGGGGCCATAAAATTCACAATTTTGGTAGAAGCACTCTTGCTCATCATAACTATGCACTAAGTTTATTTAATACCTAGGAGAAGATTTTCAAAGAATTCGTGCATTTTCACTATATCATCTATATAGACCCGCCCTAACACCAGAACCCCTGACCCTGGGGCCATAAAATTCACAATTTTGGTGAAGGCACTCTTGCTCATCATACCCATGCACTTAGTTAGTTTATTTAATATCCAGGAGACGAGAAGAGGATTTTCAAAAAATTCATGTATTTTCACTATATAATCAATAGAGCCCCACCCTAAAACCAGATACCCTGACCCTGGGGCCATAGAATTCACAATTTTGGTAGAGGCACTCTTGCTCATCATATCTATGTACTTTGTTACTTTATTTAATACCCAGGAGCAGAGAAGAAGATTTTTAAAGTATTCGTGTATTTTCACTATATAATCAATAGAGCCCCGCCCTAACACCAGAACCCCTTACCCTGGGGCCATAAAATTCACAAATTTGGTAGAGGCACTCTTGCTCATCATAGCTATGTACTTAGTTACTTTATTTAATTTCCAGGAGCAAAGAAGAAAATTTTCAAAGAAATAATGCATTTTCACTATATACTTATTTAGCCCCACCCTAGCACTAGAACCCCTGACTCCAGGGCCATTAATTTCAAAATTTTGGTAGAGGACTCAATGCTGATTATAATCATGCAAATAATTTGACTGCTTGATGTCCAGGAGTAAAGAAGAAGATTTTTAAAGATTGCATTAATTTTCGTGGTTTTGACTCCACCCCTCAGACCCCAGGGGGGAGGGATCATGAAATTCACAATTTTTGTCCCCTTCATCCATAGATGCTTTATTTGAAATTTGGTTGACATTGGTTCAGTGGTTGCAGAGAAGAAGATAGAAATGTTCAAATGTTAACGCACGACGGAAGACGCACGACGACGGACGAAAACAGGACGGATAGCAACAGGTCACCTGAGTTTACTCAGGTGACCTGAAAATAGCGACCGCGCAGAATTTCTGCGCGCACGGTTCACTGTTATAAGTATTTGTATAAAAGATTCAGTATAATATAATAAATTTTGCATGTAGTTGAGTGTAACATTGAAAATTTTCACCCTAAAGGCCCTTTCACAATTGGCGCACGGGCACTTAACAACACCTTGCAATCGAAAAATTTTAGCTTCGCACGAACTCTCACATACGTTGCACGATTTCTCGCATTCATTGCATGTGTTTTAGTGGTCGCATCAAGTCTCTTCAAAATAGTCAACACGCACACTTTTCAGAGGCGACCAATTGCGATCAAAGTACGATTTTTAAAGATCGTAAGATGAATCGCAGCTGTCTTTGCGTGTGTGTTGCGACCATGCGACGGTTGCTCAACATATCTCATGTAATCTTGCAACGTTTTACTATAGTTTTATGTCATTGCTTGATTTATCACCTTCATTTGCCATTCTTTGCAACAGGTATATATACCGTGTATAATTATAGGCCTTTCAACTAATTTTTCAAGTTGCACATATGGTAAAAAACATTGTATAGATAGATTTATAGTTACATGAAATTATCAAAAAAGATATTAACTTGTGCATATTTTTAATTACATCATTAAAAAGTTTAATCATTTATAATTGACTTTTCCGATGTTGTGTTTAAGGACAGGTAACTCAGGTGTGAAAAATGACCAACTTAGTGCCGATTTATGAGTTATCGTTTATAGGAATGACATATAGGCTGCTTCAGCATTGGTATTGTTATATACACAAAAGGGTTCCTTACATTGTTTTGTACACAAAAAGTTTTGACCAAGAGAAAAGAGAATGCCTTCACTCTAGGTGAAATAACAGGGTCTGAATTGGGAACAGACTATATTCAATAGTTTTAACTCTCTTTGACGATTATTATGAAGAATAAAATTTAATGTCATGTTTTTGTGTTCGCGCTTTTTCGCTTCCTGTGTAAACATATATATTTTTACAAGTAAATGCAATGATTGATCATCTTATTTGTGTTACTAAGCACGAAGGGGAACGACCGAGTATAAAATTTAATTAGGTTAGGACTGAGAGGGAGGGTAGATTTTACTTTATATTTTAATTAAAATTTTAATTATATGTAGTAAACCGGTGTCCGCAACTATACAGTAAATAAGTTTAACATTGGTGCTAAATTTTAAAACCACTGGATTCTACTAAGAGCAAAGAAACACTTGGGAAATGCTAAAAACTGCCTTGCGTGTAAACAGTTAGATATATATAGTTATCGTTCATAATACCGACCCCTAGCGGCAGTTGAAAGGACTAATAATTATAAGCATCTTAACAATGTCAACCGAAGAGTGTCGGAAACAGGTGGTATATATATACCCGGCCCTCTGATTCGCACGAAAATTCGTACTATGGAATGCATGAGCGCACGAGCACCGCACGTCTAATCGTAATGTCGCACGTTCAATTGTCCGAAAACCTTATCAATCGTGCAATCCTATCGCATTATCTTACAACACTCGCTTTCATTCTACAACAGTCACATATAAACGCAAGATATATCGCAAGATTTAATTCACAACAGTAGGTTTAAATCGTGCGAATTTCGTACGAACAGTTTCACCGTATACAACGGGTAACGCGGGGGAGTCGCTAAAAAGTATGGGGGAGTCGTTTTCAACGTATGGGGGAGTCGATTTTCACCGCTTCGGAGTCAGAAGTGATGTGGTTCACGTCTTTTTTCGGTGTATGTAAGATGTATTTACAAAAAACAACTAGCCCACGGAAGGTAGCAATAGTTAAGCTTTCTGTTGGTCATTTGTCCGGGTAGCATATACGTCTAGTTTTCTCAAACACTTCGAAACTATTCGACAGATTTCATATTTACGCTGATCGAGTGGTTAAAACATGCATAGTTTGCACAATCTACGACTTGTTTAGGGATTATAACAGATAAAACAGCAAAAGCAAACGTTAATCTTTCAAAAGCAACAATTTAAATTTGGCTAGACTTTATAAAAATTAATAATTAAGACATTTTCTCTTCAGACAGTAATGGTTACGTAGGGGGGAGTCGTTTCTGGAAAAACACAACGCATAGGGGAGTCGCAAAATTGAATTGTACTATTACTAAAATTTGTTTTCTTTTGCTAAATGCTTCCATACATAACTATTTTGATAACTTTATAATTTTAGTAAAATGCAATATGAATAAAGATCAATATAAGCAAAATGTACATGTAAAAATTAAAACATGTAATTATCGTTTCTTATTGTTAAGTGTATGAGTATATACCAGTACTTCATATACATTACTACATGTACATTTGATATGTTTTCTGCACGGATGAGCATGAAGTGGCATATTCCAAAATTTTCAGCATTTTAAATTAAATACCGTTAGGCAGTTAATGTCTGTACGTCCGTCCGTCTGTCTGTTACGCATTGGGGTACACATCTCTTATCCGCAACTCCCCCTACCACTGAGTGAAATTTAATGAAACTTTCACAGAAACTTTACTACATATTGCCATTGTGCATTGTGGCGGATTTAAGGGGGCGCACCCGGCGTGTCAAAATAAAATTGTCCAAGTTACCGTAAATCAGAGTTTAGTCTAGTAAATGTAAAAATTGTCTACTCATATTTTTACCCCACAAAATCTCTAGAATCCAGGAGCTTCCGGGGGCTTCGCCCCCCGGGTCCCCAGCCCCCCCCCCGCCTACTTTATTCGCACCCACCTAACTTCAATTCCTGTATCAGCCCCTGGTGACCTCCTATTTTACTTTTTGATCCGACACATATTTTGGGTTTCCCGGCCACAGCAAAACATGGACTTTGCCATTATGGCATGGGAGCCGGGGGTATCATTTAGTGAGCTCATTCCTCACAGTACCTCTAGTTTTCTTGATGAATTTTTATAGCTCTTACTAAAATTAGAACTTCAGACCCTGCACTTACCCATAATAACAATTCTGAAATACATTGCACGAAAAGGCACGTATGAAAGGTCTTCCAACGTTTTCATGCAGATTAGTAAAATCATAGTTATATTTACAAATGTGTTAATAAATTTTGGTTGAGAAACTCTGTTGTTACATGAATCTTCTTCCAACCTTTTTTTTTTGCTCGTCAAAATTTTTCAGATAAGTTGTTTATAATTCTTTTTTTCATACTTATGAAAAGTTGTTATTGTAAGAAAAACTATAACTAGAAAAAGGCTTTCTACTGTTTTCCTGAGCAATCAAATAAATCGCTGCTTGACAGTGGAGTGAGATGTTGGACCTGTCGATGAGCTATGGCACCGCTTACTTCACTGTGTGGGCGAGCTCACTGTCAGAACTTGATGGAATTGACAAAGTTTAAACTGCAGTGCTCGTGAAAAAAATTCATCATGATAATATCATAACAAACAATATAACGATTCATAAATTGATTGTTCTCGGACAAAAATGCTTTTTTACGACCCCTCAAACAAAACTTTTTGCCTTCGGACTAACAACCTCGAGCAAACAGTTTGGTTCTTCGGTCCGAAAAAAAACGCATGTTGCCCTCGAACCCTGTCTATGAATATATACATGTAGTACTGACAGTGTAAACCCCAGATAATCCCAAATATTCTCATTTAAGATACATTGTTTGTGCCTGAAGATGTGTTTATATGATAAATGAAAAATAAAAATAAATTATTTATATGTCGACCAAATTGAAGGCATATACCAGTTTAAAAATTTCTACCCCACCCCCACCCCAAGAAAAAAAGAAGTCAATGGGCGGGAATGACGCACCAGAGATTTCCACTTTTCTAATAAAAAAAATGGTTAATATTATTATGAAGAAATGTTCCATATTATAAATCTGGTTGTTCTTTTTTTATGGAGAGACTGTCATTGTTGAAAGTGAGGGTTCGTGATCTTTTTGAATTTTTGTAATGTGTAAGAAAATTACATACCGGTACTGAGCTAGGGAAGGATCTTGTCCCCATGCACATGTGCTCCGAAGATATATAATCCAATTACATGTATTCTTAAACTAAAACACCAGATTAGGTCATGCATTTCACTTTATTTTTCGACTCCCCTATGCGTTGTGTTTTTCCAGAAACGACTCCCCCCTACGTAACCATTACTTCCTGAAGAGAAAATGTTTTAATTATTAATTTTTATAAAGTCTAGCCAAATTTCAATTGTTGCATTTGAAAGATTAACGTTTCCTTTTACTGTTTTATCTGTTATAATCCCTAAACAAGTCGTAGATTGTGCAAACTATGCATGTTTTAACCACTCGATCGACGTAAATATGAAATCTGTCGAATAGTTTCGAAGTGTTTGAGAAAACTAGACGTATATGCAACCCGGACAAATGACCAACAGAAAGTTTAACTATTGCATCCTTCCGTGGGCTAGTTGTTTTTTGTAAATACACCTTACATATACCGAAAAAAGACGTGACCCACATCACTTCTGACTCCGAAGCAGTGAAAATCGACTCCCCCATACGTTGAAAACGACTCCCCCATACTTTTTAGCGACTCCCCCGCGTTACCCGTTGTATACGGTGAGTTTTTTCATATGCGATTATTTTGGCAACAGTTTACGAACCTAAACAAAATTATTCGGTCGCACGAATATTTTGTCGCTTCTGCTCGTGCGCCAATTGTGAAAGGGCCTAAAGAAAACCATTGTCGATCTGCGCCTCGGTTGACAATGGTCTTGGGGTGAAAATTCTCAATGTTTCACTCAACTACTCGAATATTTATATACTAGCTATAGAAAATAAGTATGTTTTTTTTTTTAAATTAATATTTCAAGCACCAGCCTAATCGTGTGCAAATTTTCTATTTTCACACAAGTTTTATTATTGTATTATGCGTCTTTTGTCATTCGCACAAGTTTGCATAAGGTTAGGCTCATTTAAACACAAGCTTTGAAATAAATGACCGTTTCAATTTACTATAGAAAATCACAAATGTCGGCTGACCTCTACCGCATTCATGATTGTATGGTTTTGTTCTTTGTATATTCGTGAATTTCAGCGGTAAGATTTGTTGAATAATATGGTTACCGTTTGGATTTCAATTAATAATGATTTGAGATGAAAACTTTGCTTAATTTGATTGTTTATTTTTTCACATTTTACCGTAGCTGCAGATCTGTAGCTCTCCGAAAAAAAAAATAATTTGACAGACCGGAGAGCTACAGTGCCACCCACTGTAAAAACTGTATATTTATTGCGCACAAAAGTTGCGCTAGTTTCTGGATTTATTCCTCCAAAGTCCTTCCTCAATTGCGAAAAAGCTAAATTTCAAAATATGTATTACTCTTCTATCAATTATTTACTACTTTCGTAGTTGACATCTACACGAAGCGCATTTGGGCCGAATTATCTTACAAACCAAAATGACAGTTTAAACAAAGAAATTTTCGATGATCTTCATTTCAGGGCCAGGAGGGCTGTATATAACAACAACAAGAAAACATTGATGCAACCATCAATTGTAGCCCGAGAAATAAATAAAGAAAACAAATGGAAATGACTCTTGATCATCAAACCGCTTCGATATGTATGAAAAAGGCATACGTCTAAATGATCTAGACGATAGCCGAGAATATTTTGAAAACTTATAGTCGGATGAAAATCGAACAAAAACGATACCTTTTCAAACTTTATCAGTTCTTTAAGTAAATGTTGGCTGCATAAAATATACATCAAAACCAGACATACATCAGCTTTTCAGAAATGTATTTCACTTTTAGACAATAAACACGAACTGTATAAAGTACGTTTTATGCGAAAAGTAAAATTCGTTGTTCTAAAAAAAGGGACCAGTCATTTTCGATAGTAAATGATAAGCAACTTTATATATTAAATCTGAAATATTTACATATTTTACAGATTCATTTCATGGAAGTAAATATATTGTGTATCTCGTAATTTATAAAGGGAAAGAAAATTCTGATTAATATTCTTTTTAATACTCAGAAAACCTTTAATTCGAAAGTAGTAACTTCCCCCACCTCAATCCCAATAATTATGCCAACACTTAAACGTATATGTGTAGAGCAGCCCGGTCCTCCGGGCTGAAATAAGACATGTTTTGTTGTGAAAACAGTGAAAGATAATGTTATTGGGAATACATGGTTTACTTAGTAATATTTTGATATTATAGTTTAAAAACATGAAAAAATAAATCGATAATTTTTTGCGCAATAAATATACGGTTTGTTCAATAGGTGGCACTGTAGCTCTCCGGTCTTTCAATATATATTTCGGAGAGCTACAGTTCTGTAGCTAAATTTACCGGGGCCCATAAGTGCACTCGTTCTTTTTGTAAACTGGAATTATTAGATTTTGGGTTATTGCATTTTGCGTCGAAATCATTCAAAGTTTAAAAACGCAAAATCTAATAATATCATTTTTATAGATTAATACATTTTTCAAAATGACTTTGTCAGCAAATACAATTTATCATTGAGTCAAATGCTGACTGATATTTTTCATACTGTTAGTAACAAGAAAACGTACATTTCTGTTATTACATTTTGCGTTGATTAATTTTTTGTGTTGAAGACAATGCAAAATGTAAAAGAATAATAAGTAATGAAGAAATATGATTATTTTTTTGGATTGTGTTTAACACAAATCATCTTACATTAATAAATACATATAACAAAGGATAACCCACTTTACAAAAACATTAAAACTGTGACCATCAGACCAACCTTACGGCTTTTACAATCCTCGTCTATTTCGGACATTAATAGTTCTTTATCATACCCCCTCAAGAGAGAGAGAGAGAGAGAGAGATTACAAAAAACCCCAAATATTTCTTGAAAAAATTAACTCGGCATTTTTTTTTAAATTAATTGTTTGTTCCTGCATGAAATATCAACCATACCAATAAATGTGATATTAGAGAAAATTACCGAACACCACCTTCTTATTGATCAAGGTAAATTTACGATGGTATAGAACATGATGATGAACAAGCTATTTTTAAATACATGTGTATATAAGTCTTCTTATATTACATCAAACCCGACTTCTTTTCTCATAAAATAAATGCTTCTATTCTATATTCTAAATAGATGCTATTTTTTTTGCCACCAATTTGAAACTAAAAGAAACACACAATGAATCTTAGATCATCGAAACATAATAATTGTAGAATAGGTAAAAATGATGAAATTATAACAGTATATAAACTTACAAAACCGGACTAACAGCTCATATATATTCATGTCCTTCATGGTGACGTGAGTCAGTATGTTCATCTGTAGACGGCGTATCAGTAAGTAATCACAACCAGGACTAATGACACACTTCTCTCCAGGTTTTCTGTTGTATAGCCCAGATCTCAGGTACACACTGGCTGTGTTATAACTATTGTAATAGAATGGTATAACACTGTCCATTGATGCTATCCTATACATTGTCTCATCCTTTGTGTCCTTCGTTATCTTGTCCTGATCTTCCCAAAGGTAATCACGTGACTTCAGTCTGTCCAGAGTCTGCTGTGCTTCCTCACGTGTTACAGGATTCTGTTTACCGTACACGTCCTGTCGTATCTCATTAAGCATCTCCAGCCACTCTGTGTCCGTGAAGTCAGGAGGACCGGAGTCAGAACAAAGAAAACAGAATAACTCAAACACCTCGTCATCAGTCAGTGTGGAGAACGGATCTGAAAAAAATATAATAAATACTCGTATAAATAAATGGATAGATTTGTTGAGATAATCACTAATTAAACGTATATTAAAGCTAAATCTATATCTTTCTGCCTTTATATAACGTTAATCATGTCATTTTGTTAATTTTGAATTGCAACATAAAATTACACTTTTAATGAGTAATATAATCCATAAAAAGGTCTTCTTATGTTATACATTTGAATTTTTTTTTTTAAAAAGCAGTAGGTAAATCTTTGTTGACTATGATGATATTGGGAACAGGTGAAAAACAGAAAAAAATATTTGTTAGATTTTTTTCTAAATAAAGATACGCATGTTAAGCCTTTCAACTAATTATTCTCGTTGCCTTTATGGTATAAACATTTCATAATTTAATAAGATTTATTGGTACTTGAAATTCCCAATGTATGGAAAAACAACCATATTCAAGATATATTTGTCTGTTTAACAGTTTTTATTAACAAGATATACGAGTAATATAATAATTTTTTGCGTGTGCATTATTGTTCGTCTTCTATATAGAAATACATTCTACAGAGGTACATTTTTATGATTAAATGTAATAATTCTCTTCTTCTTTTAACAAAGAAAAAGCATGCTAAAACATTTTAAAATGAATTTTAAAATTAAATCAGGTGGAAAATAAGAAGTGTCGTGAGGGGGGGGGGGGGGGGGTTAGATAACTGCATGACAAATAAGAACATACAATTTATGCTTGATTTTAAAATGACTAGATTCTTCTGACAGTAAAGAATCTCTTGGGAAATGCTGAAATATTGACACTATAAAATATCTTCTACTAGTAGACTTTTACGAAAAGCGCTAACTTTTACATCATTTGACGGCTTACTGTTACACTAGGACAATGTACGGAAGCTCTAATACGATATTTACAGTGGCGGATCCAGAGGGGGGGTGCGGAGGTTACAACCCCCCCCCCCCACCTTTGGCTTTGCAAAAAAAGAAAGAAAGAAAGAAGAATGTCCCAATTTTTTGTGCTCTTACTATAGATGGGTGTGATTTTACGATAGAAAATGTTCCGTGAAAGATTAATGATGTAATATATAAGGAAATTCGGTTGTGAGTACAAAATAAAACCACACCCCCTTTACATAGTAAGGTTTTCGGGTTCGGAGTTATATTTTCCTGTCTTTTTTAAAAAACAATCAAGTTATTCATTCAAGTACTTTTTCCAGGTTGATCAATTAACCTCCCACTTTTAAAAACCGTACTCCAACAGGTACCTTTTGAGTTATTTAACTACATGTATGTGTATAAATTACGTTATAACAACTGGTTTCCCCTTCAACTACCCTTTGATAAATCCTTCAAACCCCCCCCCCCTTGAAAAAATTCTAGATCCGCGCCTGATATACACATTTTGCTCAACATTTAATTAAACGAAAAGGTGGGTTCTTTTCTAGTATGCACATTGAAAAAATGACGTTCGTTGAAAAAAAATTTGCAAAGAAAGATATTGACATACCAAGTTTATCTATCAGAAAGATATGGACTGGATTCGAATTATGAAATTTTTCTTCCAGTGACCTTGGACTTCTCTGATTAACCTTTGTTTAAGGTCATGACACACCCTTATGTCATGAGCAATCTTTGTGTAAAATGCGAACCTACCAAGTTTATCTATAAGAAAGATATGGACCGGACACGAATAATGATTTTTTCTTTCGGCGACCTTGAACTATGTACCCCCAAACTTTGTTTGCAGGGGATATAACTATGCACTTAGTTTCTTTATTTAATACCCGGGAGCAGAGGAGAAGATTTTCAAAGAAATAAGGCATTTTCACTGTATACATTTTTAGCCCAGCCCTAGCACTAGAACCCCTGATCCTTTGAATTTCACAATTTTGGTAGAGCTGGACTCCATGCTGATTACATTCATGCAAACAGTTTGACTGCTTGATGTCCAGGAGAAAAGAAGATTTTAAAAATTGCATTAATTCTAGTTGTTTTAGCCCCACCCCTCAGCCCAAGGGGGGTGGGGAGGGATCATGAAATTCATAATTCTTGTTAAAAATATAGAATTTGTGCCAAAGAATGATTGCACTTTATGTACAAAAAGTGGCCCCCGGTAAATTGCAATTCTTCTATAGAAATTAGCTTAATGAAGTTAGTAAAACAATTCTCCTAGGTCTTTGCAAAATTAAAGAAATTTTAAGTGAATAAAATTAAAGAGCGAGGCTGTGTTTTGTTAGAGGGGTCAATGCAAATCAAGTTGTCTCCATTTTTATTCAAAGTTATTCCGATTTATAGAGCTTAAATACATAGTGAGCGCATGCTTGCCCAAATTTCTCAAAAGGACAGAATGTGTGAACTGTTGGAAATTCAACATATCTAAGGGAAAATTTTGGGCAAGCCTGCGCTCGGGGGAAACTTTTTGATAAAAGGTACAAAACTCCGACAGTTTTCTTCACTGTTTACAGGTATTTACGAGTGTATTCGATTAAGACAACCCGTGTCGCACTAGTGTTAAATATGCATGCTCATTTGAACTCTAGTGATCCAAATAAAACATCTCGTGTTGTTTAGTGTCTTATATATACTGGACAAAAAAAGTCTAAGGATCATCAAATAAAATATGTTTTACAAATATTGTATCATAGAAAACAGAAGGCAGTTTTAATTTTAGTATCATATTTTATATTTAAAAAGTGAAAATTTAACATTGGATTGATAAATTTTTTAAACACATGATACAAATTGTTCATTAAGGTCACTTTAGAATTCGGCATGTTGGGGGTAATACATGAAAATGAGATTTTTTTCCGAAGTAGTTAAATAACGTCACTAAAGTGATTGCCAGTATGATGTATGACCTCCCCACAATTGCCTGCAATTTTATGATGCCCGTCAGGGTCCAAGGCTAGCCTGAGGGATCTGTTGCCATTCCTCCTGCAATGCTGTCTGAATTTCCCGTCGATTTTGGGGAAGTGTAAACGAACTGAAATGCGTTGCTAAAGAATGTTTCAGACATGTTCAATTAACTTCCGGTCTAGAAAACGACTTGGTGGGTTTATACGCTAAGTTGTTTCACTTTCCATGTACTCGTTTACGATTCGGACTCTATAGCATTATCGTCCAAATAAGATGAAATCCTCCCCCAAAATACATGCAATAAGTCTTACAATTAAGGAATGAACTATCATTTCGTATTTTAAACCTGTCAGGTTGCCTTCCAAAATGTGCAGATCATTCTGCAATTTACTTCTGCCTGCCTAATCATCACCAAACCTCCATTTACTTGTATTGCTCAGAAATGAAACAATCAGCATATCTTTCCCCATTTGCAAATCAAGCATTTTCTGAAATCATGGATGTCAAAAAAATGATGTGTGGGTCTAGAAGAGAACAGAACACCAATGACGTTATTTCAAATTTTTGTGTTCTGTTACCCACTGTAATGTCGATTTCTGCGGCACTCTAATTTTAATGCAAACGTTTGGCTGGTCGACAAGCTTTGAGATTTGCTTCCTGAAGTCTGCTTCAAACTGTTTGAGTAGAAATAGCGTCTGTCCGTTGCTCTCATGCCCAAAGCTTATATCACTGGAAGCGTTGTTGCGTCTCAGCAAAATTGGCCAAATAACGATCCTCACGGACTGCCGTACACCTTGGACGTCCCGATTTTAGTCTTTTTTGACAATTTTCTGCCTGTAAATATCGGTTACATAACCGTTAATTCCGCTTTTGGAAAGATAAAAGTGTCTCTGCAATTGACGTTGCGTGCCAGCTTAAGTATTGTATGTGCATGTAGTTTAATCCATATCATATGCCTTTCCTAATAGCGTTTTATAACCAGTATTGCCTCAGATACCGTAAATCTGGAAATTTTTGCTGTAGATAAATTTTTAGCAGGTTCATTGCATTTGCAAAAATATTTACTCTAAAAAATAAATTACCAAAAAGAAATATTAAACGAAGCAGTGGTAATTCGCAAAATTTTGGAACGTAAAAATTAATCAACACCGTTTTGACTCTAATTTGCAAAATAAAATCGACGTAAAAATTTCCAAATTTTCGGTATACTGAAATTTTCTTATGTTCACTAAAGAAAACCCTCTTTGAATAATTTTATAATTCATAGTTCCACTTACTTTTTTAACGCCACGTATTTTTGACCAATTTGTTTCCAAACCCAATAAACACGTTTGAATAAAGTATTAATCATGTTAATGACATGTTTTTAAAACTGTACTTAAGCTTGCTGTCATTTTTTTGGGTATGAAAAAATCATTCTTTGTAAAAATATGATCCCTAACTTATATTGCCCAGTATATATGGCGGGGAAACAGTTAATTCCCTGTATATCTGGTTTGAATAGGATTAAAAGAATTATTAACAAAAATTATATATCAAATAAACATCACATGGATTTGAATTATATTTTAATACCCAGAATGAAATTCGCAGAAATTTATATTCAGAAAATGTATTTTTTACAGATACAATGTGTATTTTATGAATTTATCCTTGAATATTTTTTAACAATCAATACCTCCTCTTATTAAATTGTTGTTAAAATCGCAATGATAATTTCAATGTCAAATAAATAAGCAAATAACCTAGATTTGATATAAATCACACAAAAAAGCAATATTCATGATTTATAAAGTTATTGCAAAGGGTTTTATTAGCGTGTTCAACTGTTTATTTTAGTTAGCAATTTTTCAGATGAGAGGAAAACAGCTGAAATATAAAAATGTTTACGAGTACATTCATAAAATCCACACCTCACTTTAACTTAATTGACTGTACAGATGATATATAAACTTTTTTTTCAAAAAAATTAAAATTTTTCAGTTTTCTATATATTCCCAGGATTTATACTATTAACAACTCTATTTTGTATAAAATGTTAACCAATTTTACATTGAGGTGTTTAATTACATGTTGTGTAAAAATTACGTTATAACAGTTTTCCCCTTCAGATTTTTTTTATATATTTTTATTTCCCTGACCAGTTAACATGATT